CCACCCACAACCTCTTTATCACCCAAAGGGTGGTCGTATCGGTATGATTACGCCTCCTTGCTGATTGTCCCAATGGATTCATACCATCGCAGGCGAGCCGGCATCCGCCCCCCGCCCCCCCCCCTCTCATCCCTGTCAAGGAATACGATTTGGTGCACATGCGTTGATATAAGATGAGCTTGTGGTGCGAAACCCGATCACATAGATACCATGCGGGCCACATGCGCGCGTCCGCCGCACGCGCAAAACGAATGGATTCCAAAACCGTTGTTTCAGTAGCGATTTTAACATACAAACATTAAGACCAAATGGTTCTTCATCAACAACGATAGAATTAATCCCGCGCGCTCTTGCGGATTCCTCGGAAACCCAATATGTTTGAACTGTCCTGTCCAAGGAAACCTTCGCTCGCGCACGTCGACCTTATTCCAACGCCCACGCGCGCTCGCGAAAGGCATGATCCCTGTCAACTAACACCAAGCGGGGCACACGTAATGATCGTTGACGAGCTTGCGGCGCAACCCCATCGAGCCATAGCACACCGCACACACGCGCGCGCATGCGTTGATCGAAAAGGGAGGGGCTTCAGGGTCGAAGCCCGACCTAATAAGAAAAAACACGCGGACCACATGCGGGCCATTCCCCTGTGGGAATCGAGGGATTACTCTTCTGCTCCTTGCACGCGAGGGATCGCTGTTATGTTCCTTGCGCGTCACTCCCATGCGAGGCATGCAGGGGCCACCCTTCTGTTCCTGACGCCTCTCTCCTCAACCCCCTTCGGATTCCTGCTTTCCTCCCTTCTCCTCACTCCATTGTCGTTTCCTTCATTCCTTTCCCTCCTCTTTAAGCCCCGTCTCAGTATCCGTCCCTTGAACCCCGTCTTGAGGTCTTGCAACACCTCCATGAAATTCTGCCACGCGAGCCCCCCGCGCCGCACGTCGAGAACATTCGCGCGCCCTGGCGCGCGTTCTGGGGGGGCACGATCCGCGTCCAATAATGCAACGCGGGCCACTCTCGCGCGTCGGCCGCGCGCGCACGTCGAATTCTATCCAGAAACTTCGTCGCCGACGCGAGGACGCCGTCGTCGTCGGCGCGATCAGCATCGGCGCCGCCACTGGCCGCGCCGTGGTCGTTGTCATCATCGCCACCAGCGTCGCTACTACCATCATCGCGTCTACCCTTGTCGGCGTTGCCATGATACCGCGCCCGCCCAGGTCGCCGACTCGCACTAGAACGCCCGCTGGGATTCGCCCAGCATTCAGCGCCACCGCGGCCGCGCTGGCAGCGCCAAACGATCTGGCGTTTTGGTTGGCGCGACCACAAAGATGCGCCAGCCAACACCAAGCACTCATCGCAATCGCCGCCGCATGGGTTCTACAGACCAAGCTGCGGGTGGGTGGGTGGAATGTTTGCAAGAGCGTGGAGTGCGTCAACTCGTCTGTTTTTCATGGTTGAAGAGATGCGCAGCATCGGTTGCACCATTCATGTTCTTTGTTCTGATAACACGCGCAGACTCACCACCACCACCACCGCCACCACCTCCCGCCCCGGGTTTACCAACACTCCCTGGGATGGTACGATTTACACGCGAATCTTTCCCATCGCTCATCTCAGATATGAACTCACACCACCCCCTCATCCCGGGCCCCCCGCCCCATGCCCCTCAAACAAAACTACGCGCACGCACCCGTCCGTATATCAAAAACCATCAATCCGTCGCGCGCGCATGCCGACATGCCTCAAAAACTTCAAATGTTCGCAAACAACAAATGCAGCGTCGAGGTTCCCAAATGTGCAAATAATGCGCAATAACTCTGCAATACGAGCTGCCAAAAATCTGCGCGCGCTCTTGCGAATTGGCGCGACAATCATCATTCTCTTGAATTTGAAAAACTCAAATGCGACTTGGCGGACCTTTCGCGCGCGCATGTCGAAAACCGCCGAACGCCCTTGCGCGCGTTCTGGGGGGGGCACGACCCCTATCAATATACAACGTGGGCCACTCGCGCGCGCCGGCCGCGCGCGCGCGCCGAAATCCCCACAAAACCTCCATCAACTGGTCCCCGGACACCACCATCGTCGTCGGCGCGACCAGCATCGGCGCCATCATTGGCCTTGCCGCCGAGATCACCATCATCATCGTCGCCAGCACCGCTAGTAACATCATCGCGTCTGCCGTTGTTGGCGTCGCCACGGTACCGCGCCGTCCCCAATCACCGAGTCGCCCTGAAGCACCCACCCGTCAGCGCGGCCTGCGAGATGCGCTGGGAAGCGCCCAGCGGCCAGCGCCACTGCGGCCGCGTCTGCCGCGCCAGACTAGCAGGCCGCTCTGCGCGCGAGCCTGCGCGCGCTAGCGCGGCCGCAACGATCTGTCAGACAACGCCAAACAGTCATCACAATCGCTGCCGCAAGAGTTTTGCAAACCAAGTTTTGGGTGGGTGGGCGGGATGATTTCGCCAGCAGTGGAGCCGACACCTCAATGCGAATCAAAATTAACTGCGCACGAAGGTTGCACCACATAGATTGCACCACAAAGGCTGTACAAGTAGATTGCGCAACATATAGTGCACAACACTATTGCACCGCGCCGATTGCACCAAATATATTGTGCACCACATATACTCCTGTCCACACAGGAACTGGGCTCCACCACAACAACCACCCCCAAGGGTTATCCGCTCACCCTGGGGGTTTGCATTTTACACATGACGCTGCACCATCGTTCTTCCAGATATGAACTCACGCCATCCCAGCCAGGCCAGCATCGACCCGCCCCCCTCCCTTCGCCAGCGTTCAAAATAGAATGCACGCACACTCGCGCATCAAAAACTACCCATGTGCAAAAAACTCTTGCAACAGAAAAACGAAGTGCACATGCGCGCATCGTCGAGCGCGCAAGCCGAAATCGCCCCACTACCTTAGAACGCGGAAGGATGTCAAAATCGAATGTCCCAGGGCATGTGTTAGCACATCTATGTGCAAAATAGTTTCGCGATTTTCTGGCTCCAAAAGTTGGCGCGCGCTCGCTTGCGAATTCGTGCGAGCACCTCCTCCTCCTCCTCCTCCTCCATCCTCCTCCTCCTCCTCCTCCTGCTCCTCCTCCTCCTCCTCCTTCTCCTCTTCCTTCCCCTCCTCCTCCTCCTCCTCCTCCTCCTCCTCCTCCTCCTCCTCCTCCTCCTCCTCCATGCCTTCTCCTTACAGATAACTTCTCCCTGTCGCACCCCGAGGCCCGTTTTAAGGGCGGGCTGGGCGTGTCGCCCCTGAGCCTTCCTCACCGCGCACTACTCTGAGGCGTGAAAAACGGCAACAGCTTCACGGATGGAGGGCGGGTCGTTTTCAAAATGTGTTTCTCGCCTTAGAGCCGCACACCTTCTTTTTTAACAGAAATATTGTGAAAAAAGCTTCACGGATGGAGGGCGGGTCGTTTTCAAAATGTGACGCTCTCGCCATAGCGCCGCGCACCTTCGTTTTACAAAATTGCAAGAGCTTCACGGATTGAGGGCGGGTCGTTTTCAAAACGTGGCCCTCGCCATAGCGCCGCGCATATTCGTTTTACAAAATTGCAAGGGTTTCACGGATTGAGGGCGGGTCGTTTTCAAAATGTGGCCCTCGCCATAGCGCCGCGCACCTTCGTTTTACAAAATTGCAAGAGCTTCACAGATGAAGGGCGGGCCGTTTTCAAAATGTGGCTCTCGCCTTAGCGCCGAACACCCTCTTGTAAAAAATGCAAGAGCTTCACGGATTGAGGGCGGGCTGTTTTCAAAATGTGGCCCTCGCCATAGCGCCGCGCACCTTCGTTTTACAAAATTGCAAGAGCTTCACAGATGAAGGGCGGGCCGTTTTCAAAACGTGGCTCTCGCTTGAGCGCCTCGCACATTCGCTTTCAAAAATTGCACGCGTTTCACGGATTGAGGGCGGGTCGTTTTCAAAATCTGGCTCTCGCCTTGTCGCCGCCGACATTTGTTGCAACAAACTGCAAGAGTCTCACGGATTGGAAGCGGGTCATTTTCAAAATGTGGCTCTCGCCTCAGCGCCGCGCACATTCATTGTAACATATTGCAAGAGTTTCACGGGTTCCCATGATCAACGTACCAGAAATTGTGTTTTGGAAAGATTCAGGATTATACGGGTGCAACAGTCATGTTGATTCGGGGACTTGAAATCCCAAAAATGGCGTTCTTGCAAGGTTCCAGATCGTCAAGACGCAGCAGTCAGTTTGATCCGTGGCGTGGAAATCCCGAGAACAATGTCTTGGCATGCTACAAGGTCTGCGAACGGTTGTCTTCCAACGAAGCAGTTCCCTCAATGGGAATGAACCGTTGTAGGGGCATATGCAGAGGGAGCTTAGAGGGAAAAATAATCCCAATATCGTTGATGATTCTTGGGTTTACACTGGTCCTCCTCCTCCTCCTCCTCCTCCTGCCCCTCCTCCTCCTCCTCCTCAAACTCCTCCCTCTCCTCCTCCCTCTCCTCCTTCTTCTCCTCCATCCTCCTCCTCCTCCTCCTCCCCCTCTATGTCCTCTTCCTCCTCCTTCTCCTCCTCCTCCTCCACCTCTATATCTTCCTCCACCTCTATATCCTCCTCCTCCTCCTCCTCCTCCTCCTCCTCCTCCTCCTCCTCCTCCTCCTCCTCCTCCTCCTCCTCCTCGTCTTCCTCCTCCTCCTCTTCCTCCTCCTCATCCTTCTCCTCCTCCTCCTCCTCCTCCTCCTGATATTCGTCCCTTCTCCCTCCTCCCTCCTCCCTCCTCCCTCCTCCTCCTCCCTCCTCCTCCTCCTCCTCCTCGAAGCCCGAACATGACCACCCTCTCCGAGCTCGGGGCCATACTCCCTCCGTGGAGGCACACCGCCGACGACGGTGCCGGTGCCCACCCCTTGGCCTCCGAAGGCTAAGCGGGCCCCGGGCCACGTGCTGATGTGCCCTGCCGCGCGGCGCGGGACGCAGCTGGAGCCGGTCCGAGCTCCATGGGCGCAGCAGGCTGGGGGGGGCGGGCGAACGCCGCCTGAGCCTCCAGCCGCCTCTTGTTCATCTTGCGCTCTTTGATGGTGGACTCCAGCTCCAAGATGTTCGCATCATAGTAGCTCTGGATGCCCGCACCTCGGCAAGACACTCCAGGCCTCCAGGCTGGTCCGTTGCGCGCGGTCCCGGAGGAAGACGAGGAGGACGGAGAGGTGGGGCGGGAGGAGGAGGAGGAGGAGGAGAAGTGGAGAGGGAAGAGGGGGGAGGAGAAGGGAACAAGGGGGGGGCGGGGGGGAAGGGGGAAGAGGAGGAGGGGGGACAAGGGGTATAGAGGAACATGAGAAGGAGGAGGGAGTAGGGGGGGAATACATGTACCACAAGGAGCATCAACGATCTTGCTCTAGACCCTCCCGTCCCAAGTCCAACCCCCAAACGTCGCAACAAGCACTCCGCTTCACTGCGGTCGGCCCCCCCCCCATGAAAGAGGAACTCCCAGTGGGCATACAATTCAGGCGAGAGCCCTGTTGTGAGAAAGGGTCCACCCTCGATCGTTCTAGTTTGGAGAAGCGCGAAACATAGAACCATGAGGTTCAAGGAACGCCCCCGCTAGACATCCTTGCTGGAAGAGGAAAAAAGGGGGGACAAAAAAACCTCCATGCGTGCAGCTGTTGCACATGCTTGAACTTCTGACTGCGAAAGGAACAAACCAAAACAAACACAAAAAAAAACGTTTAGTGATAACTCTGCGTTGAAAAGAAAACTCTTCCGCCCGTGTGGACGTTGCACGTGTCTTCGCAGATAGCCACAATCAAAAAAGGGGTCCCGCGCGAGAGCCTCCTTTTGGAAACGAACGGCCCTCCACCCCCAGGTGTTGGCCATGTTTGAGACGAGTGCGCGAGGCACCATGAGTGCATGCGGCGCTAAGACGAGGGCCTCGTTCCAAAAATCAGCCACCCTCTATCCGTGCATGTGCAACTGCTGGAAATCCCAAGCTTCAGGGTCACCAGCGGTGAGAAAGCCTCGAGAGGAACGCCCCGGGCGCCCTCCATGCACGCCCGATGGGGCGGCGAGGAGACAATTCCAAGAAAGAGAGGGAGGAGAGGGAGGAGAAGGAGGACCAAAGAAACCACAGCACACGTACCGTCGGAAACCTGGCGGCGGCGACACGGTGTCCTGCGAGCGGACAACTCGTCGCTCCGCTCCGCGGGGGGCTGGGAAATGCTCGGGACGTTGACACCTGGGGACGGGGACGCGGTCACCGACGGACGGACGGACGCGCATCCAGCGGACCCCGAGAGGTCCGGCCCCCCGGGGGGCGGCGCGCGGGGGCCCGCCCGAGAGCCGCGCCGGAGCGTGGTGGGCCAGAGCCGGCGGCGCGACACGCCGAGCCAAGTCCTCCTCCTCCTTCCTCCTCCTTCCTCCTTCCTCCTCCTCTCCCTCCTCCTCCTCGTCCTCCTCCTCCTGGCCGTGCTCCCGCGCACCCCAAGTCCAAGCACACGGGGGCGTGGTGCGCGACTTCCGCGGGCAGCGGGGAGGGGCCCCACGGGGGCCCCTCACGGGCTCCCCGGCCCGGGAGGGCCGGGAGGGCGGCAAGCCGACGGGCGATCGGCGTGCTGTCCACGCTCCAGCTCACGCACAAGCCCGGCGAGGGGCCAGGGTGGCGGCACGGAGAAATTGCGGCAGCTGGAGCCGAACTGCTGATTCATGCCCTGCTCCCACTGGCGTTCAGGATGGGGGCAGCAGCGGGGGTACGGATCGAACGTCGTGCGCCGATCTCTGGTGGCCCTGCCACAGGTTGGGGGCCCAAAGGGCTGGAAGGGCCTGGAGCTTTCTGGCCACCGTAGGAAGCGGCCCAAAGATTTGTTTTCTGTGTCTTTACCGCCGCGCCAGGTCATTCTGCCAAAACGCGTCAGTTGCCGCCGGAGCGAGTGGCACATAGAACCAGGAGGCGAATGCTACACTGGCGAATGTACACAAATACGGCAGCGCCAATGCATTCCGAAGGGCGGTGCCTGTTCATGTAGTCCCAGAGGGGGCGGGATGGGATGAGCAAACGGGACGAGGGGGGGGAAAGGGCAAGAGGGCCCAGGAAGCGGCCCAAAGATGGCCTGAATGGTGAGAGCCCGACGGCTTTAATCCCACCAGCCCTCTAGGGCTGAGGTGGCCTAGTGCGGTTCTTCTTCCATCCCCATGACGACCCGTCGGATCGGGTTTCCTTTCTTAGGCAAGCTGTCGAGCTCGTCAGAGCTCGTAGCGTCAGTTGACGGGCCGCAAGCCTGACGCCCCATCGTCCACACGGACGGAAGCGCACTCGCCAGCAGCCCGTATGCTATCGAAATGCAACGTCGGATCGGGTTTTACCCCTCCCCTTACCTCTGGGTCTGGACGGGGCGGCCCTCGACCAGCTAGAGAAGCCCAAGAGGGCCCACGATGGCTCCGAGATGGCTCTAGAGATTCCAAGACGACCTCCAAGATAAAATCGGACAACATAAGATCGCTCTAGATAATTTCCAGCATGCTCCAAGAGCCCCAGAGATCCCTCCAAGACGGCTTCGGGTGGCCAAGGAGGCTACCAAGGAGGCGCCGAGGAGGTGAAAATGCATCCAGAACACTAAGGAAAACAGGCACGTGTTGCATTCTCCCTTTTTCGCTTCCGATGGGTTCTTCCTCGGGGCACCGAGATGACTACAAGATTGCCCAAGAGGGCCCCACGACGGTCCCAAGACGGCCCCAAGAGCGATCAAGAGCGCCCCACGAGTGTAACAGGAGGGTCGCAACAAGCTGGTGCTGGAGCTCAAGAGGGGCGACCCTAATTGAAGACCCCCTATTCGCTTAAAGCCAAAACATTCAAACGGCATGGTTGGTCTCAATGAACTTGACATGTCGGAGGCATAGGTGTGAGGATGTTGGGCCAGCGTGGCTCCGAGATGGCTCCACAGAGTTCATGAGGCCTCCAAGATGGCGCAAAATGGCCCAGGATGACCCACGATGCCCTCCCTGATGCCTCCAAGAGGTCCCAAGATCGCCCCAAGACGGCCCCAAGTACCCACGAACCCTCCATGAGGCCAAGATTTTCCCCGAGCCTGAGAGACGAAGGAAACAAACCAAAACAAAAAGTATCACATTCCCACCCAAGAGAACTCCGAAGAGGGACTCAAGATGGCTCCAAAACGACCCCAAGAGTTTCCACGGGCACCACAAGAGCGCATAAAAGTTTCAAGAGGGCGGCCCTAAATGAGAGCCCCCTCTCCTGTGATCGATAGTCTCCAAGATGGCCCTAAGAGGGCCCGCAAGGGCCCCAAATGGACATCAAGACAGCTCCAAATGAGCCCAAAAGGCCCCGAGAACTGCCCGAGATGGCTCACCTGTCTAGAGGCTCCCAGACCGCAAGACCCGCGAAGATATGTATGCTTGTCTCCTGGGTCTGCTCAGGCTGATGATCCCGAGCTTCGGTCTGACGACTCCGCCTACCCTTTGTTCCACAAATTGTTGCTACCCTCCCTGGTAAAGGCAGCTCGCCTGATCATCGTTCATGGATGGGCAAGTGGGAATACTTTTTGGTACGCAGGCGCACGAAGCGAGTCAGACGCCGAGCAAGCAGGGGCAGGCAGGTGGGAATACTTTTTGATATCGACCGCGTCGAAGGAAGTCGGGCGGCGTCAGAGGCGCAACGAATCGGGTGGGTTTTTTTTCCGTCGCGGCCGCAGGCGAAGGCGACAGCAGCGTCAGCTAGCAGAGCTGGCTCGGGCTACGAGCAACCTAATTGCCAGCGCGCGCGCCGAGCAGGGCAAGACCTACCGCCGGGGGAAGCGGCCGCGCCGGGGCTGAACTGCGCCGAGGGTGAGGACGACCTGCTGCGGAGGCTGCCAGGATGCTGCAACGTGCGAGCACCATGGGAGCTGAATCACCAGGCACGCGAATTAGACCTAGTCGCCACCGGGCGCCAGAGGACAGGGCAGCAAACCGACAGGTGACACGCCTGGCCGCTCAAGAAGGCTGAACCACTCCTGAATGAACCAGCGGGCCAATACCCCATGTGGCCACCTGACAACCAGAAACCAAGGAAGTGCAAGCACTCGTGCCGGAACTGGTCAGATAGCACGACACCTGAACGCCAGGGCTCACTCGGCTCCACGGAACAAAATGAGAGCCAGAGGCGCGGGGGACGGGCGCATCCACCGGGGGCTGACGGGATCGGAGCCCAGCGCCAGCGGCGAAGTAGGAAAACGGATGGGAATACTTCTTGTCGCAACCGCAGGCGAAAGCGCCAGCGGCGATTGAGGTCCGAGCGGGCCGCGCAACGGGTGGGAATACTTTTTAGTCAGCGGCCGCAGGCGAACGCGCCAGCGGCGAGTCCAGTCAGAGCGGGGCGCGCAAAGACGAATTAACCTAAACCGGTGGGCCGGAGCCTCACGCAGCACCTCAGCGGCGGGCCGGCGAGTGGAAAAGGCCGGCGGTAGGCTGGGCACTGGCACGCATGCAACGCGTCGGAAGCAGCAGGCGGCCAAGGGACTGGCGACCAGGGACAGCTGCAGACGGGAATTAGGTGCAAGGGCGCAAGACCCCCGGACTACTGCGAAGGTACCAGGGTGGCCGCAGCCAAGTGAACCGACTGTCGGACGTCGAATTGGGCGCCCATAGTGGGCGCGAGCATCGGCAAGCTGCGAAGTGCCAGGGTGGCCGCGGCCAGGAGGTCCAACAGCACCAGCACGCACAAGCGCGTAGAGCAGCCAAGCTGTAGCGCAGCCAAAATGGCGCGAGGGCACCACGAAAGAGACCGTGGAAACAACTCGGGAAACCAAGCTGCGACCCAAGGCCGCAAGAGGTGGCGCCAGCGAAGTCGCGCACCAGAAGCCCTGAATAGAGTCGAGAACGCGCGCCCGCAGTCAGCACACCGGCGGCGGCGACAGACGTACACGGACACCGCGGGGAGAACTCCAGTACTGAAACCAGGGTTACAACCGCGGACGGGTGGGAATATTTTTTTTAGTCAGCGGCCCCGAGACGAAGGTCAGGGAGCAAAGGCGACGCCCGGGCCACGGGCGAGGCTAATTTGCAAGACAGCGCGCTGCCAGCCAGAGAAGGCGGACGGACTGCTCGCACCTGCACGCGCACTGAACAAAATGACCAGAATTCGA